ACAACTCCGCCCGCACGATCCACGGCAACATCAAATCCTCCAACATCCTCCTCCGCTCCGATCCCGACTCCGCCGCCCTCTCTGACTTCGCCCTCTACCCTCTCTTCTCCACCTCCTCCCCTCCCAACCGCGTCGCGGGATACCGTGCCCCCGAGGTCCTCGAAACCCGTCGACCGACCCTCAAGTCCGACATCTACAGCTTTGGAGTTGTGTTGCTAGAGCTATTGACCGGTAAGGCCCCGAACCAGGCCTCGTTGGGGGAGGAAGGGATCGATTTGCCGAGATGGGTGCAGTCGGTGGTGAGGGAGGAGTGGACGGCGGAGGTGTTCGATGTTGAATTGATGAGGTTTCAGAATATTGAGGAGGAGATGGTACAGTTGTTGCAAGTGGCGATGGCGTGTGTGGCGACGATGCCGGACTCGAGGCCAGAGGTCCAGAGGTGGGGGAGGTTGTGAGGATGGTGGAGGAGATTGTTAGCCGGACCGAGGGGGAGGAGGGTGTGAGGGGATCATCGGATGAGCCGTCGTCGAATAAGAGCGGGACAACGCCGCCGGCGGGCAGTACACCTTGAGTTAAAAAGGAATGAATTTGAAAATTGTGCATTTCTTGATTTTTCTTATTTTTTGGTTTTTTTTTATTTTTATTTTTGTGAATTGATTTGTGGGGGTGGACAAAATGGGTGTGAGGATTGGCCAAAAAAATTAAGGTGGATTAATTTATTTTAATTTAGGACTGGGGGTTTTGAGATGAATCTCCCGTAATTTGAAATTAGTTCCTCAGAATCATTGAAATGGCGAATAAGTCCCTCAAAATAATAAGGAATCTTATTATGTGGGCAGTGGGCCCTTCGTTAGCTATTTAGTTAAATTTGCAATTTATCGTTGGGTCAATAAATGGCGAATAACTGCAGGACTAAAGGTTAATTTTTTGTCACCTACAGGTGATATACGCTCTCTTAAATTTACATAAGATGGGGGTTTAGTTTGCAGGTTTTGGGTTTTAATCCTTAAAAAAAAAGGTTATTAAACGATTGACGGGTACAACTAGACCTCCAGGACTAAAGGTTAGATTTGAAGGACCAGTCATCAATTTTAAAGATTTGAGGAAATAATATTAAGGATTAATTTCACTTAACCCTCCTAAACTTTAGGCTTGTTGCAATGAACCCTATGAATTTATGT